CTATATTCATTAAATCAAATAACCCTGAGTTAGATAAAGGCAAGACTGTAGATCACAAGTATTATATTGAAAATTATTTGAACTCTTCTGTTAATGAAATATGAAAACAAACATAGACACCAGGTTCAAAATGTACAAAATTGCTTAAAGATGATCGTTGACTTCATACTCATCTGATGTGATTAATCATTCGACAGAAAAAGACATCAATATAATGTCATAGGAGCCACATTCGCCAAGCCTGTTACTATGTAATTTATGGCTAACTAATTTTATCTAACGTAGTTTAACTGATTAAATAAATGAAATATGATTAGCTCATGTGGTTTCCAGGACAGCTAAATATTTTTTTTGAAAAAGACTTAAAAAAAACTTTTACTAAATTGTTAGAAAGGATTGTACTTGATATAAATAATCATGGCAACTATTCTCAATATTTGATAAAATAAAATTTTGAAAATATCTCAAAATCTTTATATTTTTATTTAATGCTCTGAGAACTTTTGGTTACCCCTAAGTAGAGATTCAAACTATATACACGAGACTTTAAATATAGAAAATTTATATTTATGAACATATTTTAATTATTGATTTATGTTTGTAACTCGTATAATTTAAGTATTGTTAAACTAAAATAAAAGTGTTGTTGTTTTTATGTTATATATAATTGTTAATATATTTATTATAGAGTTCAAGTTATGATTGCAATGAAATTGATAGTCGTATATTTCCATCATCTATAGTTGGTTTTCAAGAAGAAAAAACAAATTTATCAGAAAATAATATATCAATTTTAGTTGGTTGTGAAGATGGTACAATGTATTCTATATTAATATCACGTCAAATACCAATAAGAATAATTAATATGAAATTATTATCTACTGGTCAGATAAAATCATGTTCTCGTAAACCAGTTGTTTTACGTCATTTTAATTTATCATCAAATGAATATATTCTTGCACGAATTTATTATTCTCCAATTGTTGCACCTAATGTTAAATTTGGTTTAGTACATTGTACATTACATCGTTGGTTATCAAATAAAATAAGATCATTTAATGATATAGTTGAAAATTTTTTAGAAAGAATATATATTCCATTATATTGTTCATCTGATGAACTAACTATTTTATTTAATCAATGTAAATCTTATAGAAATAATAATAATAATAATAATAATAATTATGAAATAAATAAAAAAGAAAAAGAAAATGATAATGATAATTATATTTATTTACAACGATTATGTCGTTTATATTATTTATTAAATAATAGAAAAGAACAATATATATATGAAAATAAATTATTAGAATATTATCGTAATCGTTTATCAATTATATTAAAATCACTTTTTTCAAATATTATTAATAAACTTTCACAAATTGAATTATTTATTTATAAAATTTGTTCAAATCAAGATGAAATATATTCATATAATATGTTTATGTGTCCATTATGTAATAATCCATTAATAATGACAAAAGATGATCTATTATATAGTAGATGTTCAAATAAACATGTTTGGCCTCGATGTTGTCGAACACTTTTACCATTATGTTTTGATTCTGCTCAGACATGTTCATCTTGTGATAAAACAATAACACTTATTCAAACAAATGATATTAATTATATCAATTTTTTACAATATAAAGATAAACAATTGAACTTTTTTTTTTCATCTATATGTACTCTTTGTATGTAATACATTACAATAAAATAGCACAAAAACATTTATTTATTTTAACACTTTTATTTTTATTTTTTTTTAACTATTTTCATGTTTTCGAACTTTTATCATTCACTATTACTTATATGAGCGACATTTTCGCATTAAAATAATCAAAATCAATTTTCATTCGAACTTCAACATTTTTTTATCCTCTAATATCATTCTCGATAAATTAACAAGATTCTTTAATACTATTAAACAAACTCTGAAACCTACAAACAATATTCTATTATTGTCGGCGTCAGAGTTGAAAAAGAGTGGACGTAAGACGAATATCTCGAAAATGGCAATAGCTAACGAACTTCGATTTTCACCAATCGAAAGCTGTCGAATCAGGACATGTTTTAATTATGATTCTATGCATGATGAAATTATTGTCTAGTCAACCATTTTTGAGAATCTTTCTGAAAAATCGATAATAATATTAAATAGTCTCAATGAATTTTTGACTTTGACGTACACGTTAGATAGAGAAATCTCAGATCTAAATTGTTAAATATAGCTCAAATAATTATCTTTCCTCTTCCTAAAATTGACCGAATATAAATAAATTCCTACTCGATGTATAAATGAACAATTATTTTATTTTGAGAATTCATTTTTATTGCTATTTTATCTAGGCTATATTAAAAATTTATTTGTTCAAGTAAGCAACAGTGATACAAAGAGATATAAATAATTACTCAAATTATAATTTCTAAGAGTTGTATTGAGCACTTTTTATCCATATTACTCTGCAATATATCTTATATTATTTATTTAAAAGTGGAATATATGTACGTTAGTCTTTCATAGTTGCATTGCATCGAGAATTAGTGTAGTTTCGAACCAGTTATAACAACATGTGATGAAAACAATTTCAATAAAATTAAAAACAAAAATCTCGAAATATTAAAAATCAATGTTTTATTCATCATCACTCAATCTGATTCTTCGCTTGATTCTTCATTATCAAGCATTGCCTCAATCTCTTCTTTCATATATCAGTCAGTAATTCTCAACTTCTTTTCGGTTTCTTGAGTATGTTTGATCACCTTCCTAGCTGCATCACCATCATAGCTAGCCATAAATTGATCAGCAAGTTCATGAATATCTGCTAATTCGAAGCTAATATTGTTCTTACGCACATAGTCTTTTAAATTCGCCTAACAAAATTTGAATTGGATTTAAGCAACAGTGTCTAAAAGAAAAACGAACAATCTCCACATCGAATTTCATAGTTATCTTATTTATCTATTTTAAATAACAATAATGATAAAATAAAATGAAATATTTTATTAATTATATGATTGTCACTTTATATATTTTCTCAGGACGTTTGGCTAATGTAAGTTCCAAAAACTCTAAGTTTGATCATAATGGATCAAAGTGATATATTATGATTATTTAGATAGTCTTTTATTTCACCTTTTCTCCAGAATCTTTTTGTTGGTTTACATGAATCTATGAGTTCAGAATGTCATAATACAAATTCAATTAAAAATACAAATAAGTCTATGTGAACCTATTCAATAAGAATTTGAGATATTACACTTATAGATGTAATAAAATAAAGTATTTCATACCATTGTCATGACGAAGACGACATGCTGCCTTTTCAATATATTCAAGAAAGTATTCAAGATTGACTGAATGCTCTTTTCAGCAAGAAAATATATCGATACTTGGTAGATGAACATCATCATTATTCATCATTGATAATATCGTAACTCTATCATCTAAAATAGTACATTCACTTTTGATTACAATATTACAATGAAAAAGTTACTTTTTCCTTCGTTCTTTTTTATTCTTCCCTTTCCATCATTATCAACCCATATTGATGTTTTTTCAGCACCAAAATTAATCCAACTCTTGTTGTAAAAAAAAGGTGCATTGGAATCTCCTAACTCGTTCATTTTTCGAAAATTCTTCGCTCTCTGAGCAACAAAACAACATCATCAAGTGACATTTTTACCTTAGTAGTAGCTATTCATAACAAAAACCTATACGATGAAGATGATGACGAATCGTTATTTCAAATTGTACTGGCAAATCATTGTGTCGTAGTTGATAAAGTCTTTCTAGAAGATTGGCTGTATTTGGAGAAATATTTTAGATAGCAATGCGTGAAACTGAAATCTTATCTCACTATCAGCTTGTTCCGATAACTTTATTGACAATCGTCCAAATCTGATCTTCCCACGGAAAATTTTTTTTCGAAAAACCGGTCGAAACCGCGGTTTTTTTTATTCGACCGCGGTGTTACCAGAGTAAATCGAGGTTTTGATTAAAGAACCGCAGTTGGTAGCGGTTTTTTTGAACCGCGGTTTTCTCAAACCGCGTTGCTCGTATTCATAACCGCGGTTATACATACCGCGGTATTCAACAGTCTAAATAGTCGCAGTATGATGATTGGAAACCGCGATGTTTCATAGCACGGTATTCAACGGTTTCCAAAACCGCGGTATAATCATCAGCAACCGCGGTGATAAATGCTGCGGTATTGAGTGGTTTTTTAAACCGCGGTGTATTCATCAGTAGTTGCGGTGGTGAATAAAGACGGTACAGAGCGGTTTCGAAAACTACGGTATAGCATTAGCTATTGCGGTAATAAATACCGCGGTACTCAGCGGTTTCTAAAACCGCGATCTAGTCACTAGTAACCGCGGTGGTGAATACCGTGGTATTTAGCGGTTTCTAAAACCGCGGCACAATCATCAGTAATTGCGGTGATAAATACCGCGGTATTGAGTGGTTTTTT